AATAGCCGAGTACACACAAGGACGACAGTGCCTTCACGTGCTCCAAAAATCTAAATATAACAATGACAAAGTAAAAAAAAAACTTCTGTTATAAACATCTGTGGCAAGCAAATCTCTCGTAATTAATACAGAATGAAGTCTAAAATATTTTCCATGGAATATATCACGTTGCAGTGGACAATAATGTTGGTGATCGTGTTGGTGAGGGAGGGGGGGGCATGGAGTGAGGGAGCGGGAAGTGAGGGAGACAGGGAGTGAAGGAGGCAGAGAGGGAGAGAGACAGTCACTGGAAGAATCAACAATGTTGTTATACTGGTTACTGATGGCGGGTCTGGCACCATGGCCTGAGACCACTAAAAACACTGGGGAAATTTGTTTGATGTACGCCAGCACAGTGCAGCTATGTATATATAAACTGCAGTGTGTATGTGTCATTGACTGCGGGCAATGTCATTTATGGATACTTTAGTTTGCAGATATGTTGCTTCAGCGTCGCCTGCTGCTCACCCCCGGCAACTATCCTGATGACTAGTACATTACGTGTTGGCTAGTGAGCTTCAGTAGGTCGCTGGGCCTCTCGGTCCCCTGAGTGCTTGCGAGTATCTGCTCTCTAAAAAACCAAATGATTATAATCATAGCCATAATCTTCAAAGGGGTGGACGGGTAAGCCAGCGGAAGGCCTGGGTCAGATGACCGAAAGCTCCAGCTGCGGGTCATCATATGACCTTATAAGACCCGCGTCAGGAAACACTCGTTCTGTTTCTTGGCAAAACTTACCTAACCTAACCTTCCCTCTGTATTATTCAGTTTATTTCAATTTCTTGGTGTTGACTCATCTCATTTTACAGCTGTTACCAGTCTTGAATTTTTGACCTTGTCTGTTGAAGTAACTTACTAACAGTTTGTTCTCACATTACTTTAAAACTTTAAATACAATTCATCCTACTGTGTGATTATTTTATTGTATTTATGATGACTTCTGTCTTTTTCCCACCTCAGCCCATAATGATCAGTTTAGGTCACCTGTCCCACGAGGAAGAGAAAGGCCTATCATGGCTACTAGTGTGGTAACGTATACACCCTATAAATAATCTGTTATTTTTCACCTGTCTCATTGTATGAGTCAACTTGATGTACCTTCAGCGAGTGATCTTCCAGCTGGTTGGGAGTACTGAGTGTGTGCACGACTTGGGAAGTTTCTTTTGCTTACTCTACAAGAAGCGAACTCTATCTCTTAATCAGACTTACTACTGGTCGAATGGAACACATCCAGTCTGTCATCTCTACCTTCACTCCTGGTCTACGTGCCTCACTCACTCACCGTTCAGGCTAAAACCTGTCACCTACGGAGCGTGAGGTTGTCTAACGTCAACTTTCGAAAGCTACTTCACCCTGTCTCTACTTCAGTCCTCTACACCACTCCAGCTGAGGTTCCTCATCTAACACCTAGCTGGAGAGTTATCTGGGAAGCAGAGCTGTCTCTTAGTTTGCCAGCTGTACTTCCACTATCACCGACAATCAACACGCCTCTTCACTACCATTTAATTTCACGTGTTTATGTTATTTAGCTTTTGGTCAGATTTTAAGTTCACGATTTTGTGTTACATCATCTCGAATTTAATCCCACTTGATTATTATTAAGAGTTTTTATTTATTTTTCTATTTAATCTTTTCATAAAGGGATTACCTTTACATCTTCCCTAAAAGTTCGAGGCTTTATCAATCACATTAGTTGGTAATAAAAACATGTCTAGTAGGTACTTGTTGCCAGTGTTATTACCTTGAAGACTGTTCTTGGAGTAGTTGTTAAAGGAGCCATGTATGCGTACCTCAGGGGAATAGGCTTGGCCCCTTGTTATTGTACGTCCTTCCCATGCCCAGTACAGCGACCTACCCAGCCTACTCACATGACCGCATTTTTAACTGTTGCTTATTAAGCAAGAAACCCCCTCCCTTCTTTTCTGAGGTTAATGTCACTAATTTACACCTCTATCTACCCATCACTGCTGTCTCACTTGCCCGTCAGCTCCTCCTGCAGCGTCGCCTGCCGTGACAAGAGCACATCATGGATACTACTCATAACCTTAATTTAAAGGGGTGGATGGATAAGCCAGTGGATGGCCTCGGTCAAATGACCAAAAACTCCAGCAGCGGGTTATCATATTGCTAAGACCCACGTTAGGAAACACTTGTCCTGTTTCCTGACAAACCTAATATCATGGGTGAGTGGTGGAGGTGCACATCACGAGTAGAATATCTCCTCCCTACGAGACAGTACTCACGCCAGTGCCTCCTCCACCTGCTGGAGGAGGCACTGGCTTAAGATGTGCATGTTAGGCCAGCAAGGGAAGAGAGGGGTGAACTTTAGCAAGGGAGGAGAGGGGTGAAATTTAAAGTAGCAAGGGAGGTAGGGTGAACTTTAGAGTAGCAAGGGAGGGGAAGGGGTGAACTTTAGATTAGCAAGGGAAGGGGTGAACTTTAGACCAGCAAGGAAGGGGGAGGGGTGACCTTTAGACCAGCGAGGAAGGGGAAGGGGTGAACCTTACATTAACAAGGGAGGGGAAGGGGTGAACTTTAGACCAGCGAGGAAGGGGAAGGGGTGAACCTTACATTAACAAGGGAGGGGAAGGGGTGAATTTTAGACCAAGGGAGGGGGAGGGGTGAACTTTAGACCAACAAGGGAGGGGGAGGGATGAACTTTAGACCAACAAGGGAGGGGGAGGGGTGAACTTTAGACCAACAAGGGAGGGGAGGGGTGAACTTTAGACCAACAAGGGAGGGGGGAGGGGTGAACTTTAGACCAACAAGCGAGGGGAGGGATGAACTTTAGACCAACAAGGGAGGGGGAGGGGTGAACTTTAGACCAACAAGGGAGGGGGAGGGGTGAACTTTAGACCAACAAGGGAGGGGAGGGGTGAACTTTAGACCAACAAGGGAGGGGAGGGGTGAACTTTAGACCAACAAGGGAGGGGAGGGGTGAACTTTAGACCAACAAGGGAGGGGGAGGGGTGAACTTTAGACCAACAAGGGAGGGGGAGGGGTGAACTTTAGACCAACAAGGGAGGGGGAGGGGTGAACTTTAGACCAACAAGGGAGGGGGAGGGGTGAACTTTAGACCAACAAGGGAGGGGGAGGGTGAACTTTAGACCAACAAGGGAGGGGGAGGGGTGAACTTTAGACCAACAAGGGAGGGGGAGGGGTGAACTTTAGACCAACAAGGGAGGGGGAGGGGTGAACTTTAGACCAACAAGGGGGGGAGGGTTGAACTTTAGACCAACAAGGGGAGGGGGAGGGTGAACTTTAGACCAACAAGGGAGGGGGAAGGGTGAACTTTAGACCAACAAGGGAGGGGGAAGGGTGAACTTTAGACCAACAAGGGAGGGGAAGGGTGAACTTTAGACCAACAAGGGAGGGGGAAGGGTGAACTTTAGACCAACAAGGGAGGGGGAAGGGTGAACTTTAGACCAACAAGGGAGGGGGAAGGGTGAACTTTTAGACCAACAAGGGAGGGGGAAAGGGTGAACTTTAGACCAACAAGGGAGGGGGAAGGGTGAACTTTTAGACCAACAAGGGAGGGGGAAGGGTGAACTTTAGACCAACAAGGGAGGGGGAAGGGTGAACTTTAGACCAACAAGGGAGGGGGAAGGGTGAACTTTAGACCAACAAGGGAGGGGAAGGGTGAACTTTAGACCAACAAGGGAGGGGGAAGGGTGAACTTTAGACCAACAAGGGAGGGGGAAGGGTGAACTTAGACCAACAAGGGAGGGGGAAGGGTGAACTTTAGACCAACAAGGGAGGGGGAAGGGTGAACTTTAGACCAACAAGGGAGGGGGAGGGGTGAACTTTAGACCAACAAGGGAGGGGGAGGGGTGAACTTTAGACCAACAAGGGAGGGGGAGGGGTGAATGAAACTTATGACAACGTTTCGATTCCACTTGGACCATTAACTACCGTATTTTCCGGCATATAAGGCACACGAACATATGAGACATATAAGACAATGTTTCCAAGCAACTGTAATGTAACGTTACGATAAAGCGTAACGTTACATTACAATTGTAATGTAACGTTACGATAAAGCGTAACGTTACATTACAATTGTTTGGAAGCATTACAGCCTGCGCCTTATATGCGTTGAGCATATAAGGCGCAGGCTGATTTTTTCAAGACTGGGAAAAACGTGCGCCTTATATGCCGGAAAATAAGGTACACTCTCTCAGGTGATTCTTCAAGGGTGGTCATGAGTGTGAGGGACAACTCTACAAGGACTCAGGATGGAATACGGAGTGAGGGTGAGAGTCAAGGAAACATCTTGCAACTGCTCCGATGCTAACTTAGCAGTATGGAAGTACAGTGCTGTTGGCGCTCGCTTTCTGGCAAGGTGAGACGTATGGCAAAGTCGCCTTACACCTGCTACTGTTCACCTAGCAGTGAACTGGTACCTGAGTGTTAGTGGACTAACGTGGGTCACATCCTGGATAAGTTGAAAAGTTGGGGTAACTTCTTCAGCTGGCTGTCCCTTGTTCACCTAGCAGTAATTAGGTACCTGGGTGTCCGCAGATTGTCGTGAATCACAAGGTAAATAGCCTATATTTATTAATTCTCATGGATTATCCTGGACTATACCCCTCCCATCACAGGCCTTAGTGAAGGTAAGGCCACCAGGTACAGATACGTCACTGTCTCTACAAGGGAGTGAAGACAAGAATGTGAAGACTGTGGGTGTCAGTTGTCTGTGGTGAGGCTACTAGGTGCATATTCATCACTATCTCTCTACAAGACAGTGAAGGAAGCAGTGAGGGGTAAAGCCAGTAGATATAAATCTGTGTTGACGTTATTGATCAAGGTATTGTGTGCTGGTGAAAGCTCGTCTACACACTCGATATATACCCTTGTGTGTGTGTGTCCTTGTACCAACAATCATTTACAGCATTGTGTTGCCAGCCTTAACGAGGGAGACAGTACCATTGTGTTGGGTGATGGAGTGAGGAGGAACTAACCTGGACCTCTCTGCAGTGATGACACAGGAGGCTGTTCTTCCTTGTCTTGCCACTTCTGAACCTGTACCAGGAACACATAGTTACACTCTGCCATCTAAATCTAAAAATCTACACAAGAAAATCTGATATTCCAACTTTATGTTTTGTGATTATTATTATTATTATTATTATTATTATTATTATTATTATTATTATTATTATTATTAATATTATTATTATTATTATTATTATTATTATTATTATTATTATTGTCTCGTATCCACAAACCTGAATATTTTAGTTAGCTGTTCAATGTTTCTGTTTCTTCTCTCGGGACCCAACGTGATGCTTTGCCAGGTCCCACTGCTGGTGTGTGTGTGTGTGTGTATGTGTGTGTGTGTGTGTGTGTGTGTGTGTGTGTGTGTGTGTGTGTGTGTGTGTGTGTGTGTGTGTGTGTGTGTGTGTGTGTGTATGTGTGTGTGTGTGTGTGTGTGTGTGTGTGTGTGCGTGTGTGTGTGTGTGTGTGTGTGTGTGTGTGTGTGTGTGTGTGTGTGTGTGTGTGTGTATGTGTGTGTGTGTGTGTGTGTGTGTGTGTGTGTGTGTGTGTGTGTGTGTGTGTGTGTGTGTGTGTGTCTGTGTGTGTGTGTGTGTGTGTGTGTGCGTGTGTGTGCGTGTGTGTGTGTGTGTGTGTGTGTGTGTGTATGTGTGTGTAAAATACTGCTCAACGAGCAGTATTTTACACACACAGTGAAATGCAGTGGGGGGAAGTTAAGTTGATACAGATTAGTGATCAGGAATCCATCCTGATCACGTCCTCGTCAGTGATTACGAGCCTTAATCTTAATAATCTAATCTACTGGGGAACACACACCGGAGCTGTGAATCGACCCCTGCAACCGCATATAGGTGAATACACTTACCTCTATAATGGGATAATCTTAATCACCCGGCTGAATAATTAAGACAAATACCATAAATATAATTATAATTGATAGTACACCTTACCCACACCTGTATAATTCAGAATACACCTTCATCATACCTCTATACTTAAGAGTACACCTTCATCATACCTCTATACTTAAGAGTACACCTTCATCATACCTCTATAACTGGCATAACATCTTAATCAAAAGAGTATAAATGAAAGTCATTCTTAATAATCTCTGCGAAAATAAGATTACGCAGCAACCACTTATCTGTATAAGAGAGAATACTCTTTAATCACAGGCGTATAATTAACACACCTAATCATCCTTATATAATTAATGCACTTAATTATCCTTATATAATATACCTAATTATCCTTATATAATACACCTAATTATCTTTGTATAATTAATAAGCCTAATTATTTTTATAATTAATGAAGCTAATTATTCTTATACACTTAATGCGCCTAATTATTATTATATAACTAACACAAATTCATCTTGTATAATTAGGTGCACAAGTACCTGCGTTGTAGTGTTGGCAACCTTGGTGCCAATGAAGTTCTTGTTCTTGGGTATGTCTTTGTAGGTGCCACCTGATTCCAGGTGAGCCAGGGCCTTCCTCAGGTCACTCAGGTACAGCTTGCCTGGTTCGTCCAGCAGAACCTACAAGGGTGGTACCTAATAACTTGAGCACACCGCGGGACGGGTAGGGTTAGAACCCCTGGCAAACGAGTCCAAAAACTCTCAGGCCAGTCGCCATGGGTTCAAATCCCACCCGTTCCCTGGCTTGTTTATAATCGCATCATTATGATTATGCCAGTATACCGAAAACACTGTATCTGACTGCTACTGTAGTGAACATTGAATGGTATCTACATCTTCAACGAATTCCTGCGTTTTACACACTATAATGGGTATACTTTATGTATCAGACACGAACGCATTGCATAAACCAAAGGACACCTAGTATAATACGGGGGACTGTCGTAAAACTCCAGGCCAGTGTGTAAGCCACTGGGCCAGCTGGCTACAATAAGATTCATTCAACTAGGTATATTTATACATCATAGGGAGGTTAGTATGGGATACCGCTGTGACCACAAATTCAAGTTTTTACAGATGAATCTGCCGCCAGCGTGGCCGTGAAGAACTCTAGCTCAGGTCCCCTCAAAGCCGTCATCATGACTCATGAGTTATGACGGAGTGAATACTGTATGGGCAACAGAGTGTCATTACACTTATAATTAAGACTGGGTTAATTATGTTTAACTAAACCCCATATAACTATTACAAATATGAAGGTTGTGATTTGTCGTGTGATGTCATAATGAGGTCAACCCTGGTATACTGAACACTAGGTGTCTGTATACCCAACACTGAGTGTTTGAGTACTGTGTACCCAACACTGAGTGTTTGAGTACTGTGTACCCAACACTTGAGTATTGTATACCCAACATTGAGTGTCTTGAGTACTGTATACCCAACACTGAGCGAGTACTGTATACCCAACACTGAGTGAGTACTGTATACCCAACACTGAGTGAGTACTGTATACCCAACACTGAGTGAGTACTGTATACCCAACACTGAGTGAGTACTGTATACCCAACACTGAGTGAGACTGTATACCCAACACTGAGTGTCTGAGTACCTGTATACTTAATACTGGGTGTTGTCAGCATGAAGAAAATTACACATCAGAGGGAAAAGAAAGTCAGTAATATAATAGAATGAGGAAGACAGCAGAAAGTCAGCAGGTACGTGAGACGTCAGCAGGTAAGGAGAAAGTCTTCAGATGTCAGCTATTAAGAAAGAAGCCAGCAGTCAGTAGTTAAAAAGGAAGCCAGCAGTCAGCAGAGAGCCGTCAGTGGTGGCACTCACCTTGCGTGCACCAGAATACATGTTAGCCTTGGTCATCCACGGCTTGATGAGTGCCAGGATGGCCAGGGCCATGTTGGTGAGTGTGGTCTTCTTCCAGCCATCGAGGAAGAGTTGGTCCCAGAGCCAGAGCACGGCGGTAACACTCACCACTCCCACGAACCCCTACAGCGCTTCCATAGCCAAGTCAGGAGGAAGCACTCGTTAATAATGATAATGTAATATAATAATAATTCGTCACAAAATATTAATAATCACATAAATATATAAAATCGTAACATAATAAAAATCACTATGTAACAAAATTACAAAATAATAAAATTAAGTAAAAATAATATAAATAAACATAAAAAATAGCCAAAAATCTAAAAATCACAAAAAATACAAAATAACAAAATACTAAGAACCACAAAAACAATAAAAATCACAAGTAATAAAAACACACAAAAAAGTAATCAACCACAAAAAAAATAAAATAAAAAATCACAAAGCATTAAAAAATCACATAACAAAAAAATCCACAACGATCATTTTTATATATAAAAAAAAATATCACGAGATAACAATAAAAAAAAATCCACAAAATAAGAGTACAAATCAGTAGGTAGTAACTGACCTGAGAGATCCACTTCCTGACGAAGATGGCAGGAGTAGTGAAGAGTTCCAGGTGTTGCTGCATCATGTTGTCGGTTCCTCGAACCTCCAGATCCTCGTACAACTTTGTTGACGCCTTCATCCCCGCCTGCAGCACCTCAGGCGGGAAGTCCTAGTAGTAGTATAGGCAGTAGTAGTACAGTAATAATAGCAGCAGTAGTAGTAGTATTGGCAGTAGTACAGTAGTAATAGCAGCAGTAGTAGTAGTACAGTAGTAGTATTGGCAGTAGTACAGTAGTAATAGCAGCAGTAGTAGTAGTAGTACAGTAGTAGTAGTATTGGCAGTAGTAGTACAGTAGTAATAGCAGCAGTAGTAGTAGTACAGTAGTAGTAGTATTGGCAGTAGTACAGTAGTAATAGCAGCAGTAGTAGTAGTACAGTAGTAGTAGTATTGGCAGTAGTAGTACAGTAGTAATAGCAGCAGTAGTAGTATAGTAGTAGTTAGTAGTAGTAGTAGTATTGGTAGTAGTAGTACAGTAGTAATAGCAGCAGTAGTAGTAGTACAGTAGTAATAGCAGCAGTAGTAGTATAGTAGTAGTAGAAGTAGTAGTAGTATTGGCAGTAGTAGTACAGTAGTAATAGCAGCAGTAGCAGTAGTACAGTAGTAGTAGTATTGGCAGTAGTAGTACAGTAGTAATAGCAGCAGTAGTAGTAATACAGTAGTAGTAGTAGTAGTATTGGCAGTAGTAGTAGTACAGTAGTAATAGCAGCAGTAGTAGTAGTAGTAGTATAGACAGTAGTAGCACAGTAGTAATAGCAGCAGTAGTAGTAGTACAGTAGTAGTAGTATTGGCAGTAGTAGTACAGTAGTAATAGCAGCAGTAGTAGTAGTATTGGCAGTAGTAGTACAGTAGTAATAGCAGCAGTAGTAGTAATACAGTAGTAGTAATTGGCATAGTAGTACATAGTAATAGCAGCAGTATTTGTAGACAGTAGTGTAGTATGGCAGTAGTAGTACAGTAGTAATAGCAGCAGTAGTAGTAGTACAGTAGTAGTAGTATTGGCAGTAGTAGTACAGTAGTAATAGCAGCAGTAGTAGTAATACAGTAGTAGTAGTATTGGCAGTAGTAGTACAGTAGTAATAGCAGCAGTAGTAGTAGTATAGTAGTAGTAGTATTGGCAGTAGTAGTACAGTAGTAGTAGTAGTAGCAGTAGTAGTAGTAGTAGTAGTAGTAGTATTGGCAGTAGTAGTACAGTAGTAATAGCAGCAGTAGTAGTATAGTAGTAGTAGTAGTAGTAGTAGTAGTATTGGCAGTAGTAGTACAGTAGTAATAGCAGCAGTAGTAGTAATACAGTAGTAGTAGTATTGGCAGTAGTAGTACAGTAGTAGTAGTAGTAGCAGTAGTAGTAGTAGTAGTAGTATTGGCAGTAGTAGTACAGTAGTAATAGCAGCAGTAGTAGTATAGTAGTAGTAGTAGTAGTAGTAGTAGTAGTAGTAGTAGTATTGGCAGTAGTAGTACAGTAGTAATAGCAGCAGTAGTAGTAATACAGTAGTAGTAGTATTGGCAGTAGTAGTACAGTAGTAATAGCAGCAGTAGTAGTAGTATAGTAGTAGTAGTATTGGCAGTAGTAGTACAGTAGTAGTAGTAGTAGCAGTAGTAGTAGTAGTAGTAGTAGTAGTAGTAGTAGTAGTAGTATTGGCAGTAGTAGTACAGTAGTAATAGCAGCAGTAGTAGTATAGTAGTAGTAGTAGTAGTATTGGCAGTAGTAGTACAGTAGTAATAGCAGCAGCAGTAGTAGTAGTAGTAGTAGTATTGACAGTAGTAGTAGTACAGTAGTAGTAGTACAGTAGTAATAGCAGCAGTAGTAGTAGTACAGTAGTAGTAGTACAGTAGTAATAGCAGCAGTAGTAGTAGTACAGTAGTAGTAGTACAGTAGTAATAGCAGTAGTAGTAGTAGTACAGTAGTAATAGCAGCAGTAGTAGTAGTACAGTAGTAGTAGTACAGTAGTAATAGCAGCAGTAGTAGTAGTACAGTAGTAGTAGTACAGTAGTAATAGCAGTAGTAGTAGTAGTACAGTAGTAATAGCAGCAGTAGTAGTAGTACAGTAGTAGTAGTACAGTAGTAATAGCAGCAGTAGTAGTAGTACAGTAGTAGTAGTACAGTAGTAATAGCAGTAGTAGTAGTAGTAGTAGTATTGGCAGTAATAGTAGTACAGTAGTAATAGCAGCAGTAGTAGTATAGTAGTAGTAGTAATAGTAGAAGTAGTAGTTCAGTAACAGTACTAGTAGTACAGTAGTAATACTAGTATTAATAATAATAACAATAATAATAATAATATTATTATTATTATTATTATTATTATTATTATTATTATTATTATTACTCTTAATAATATTCACAAATAACCCGCACATAGGAGAGAGAAGCTTATGACAACGTTTCAGTCCAATTTAGATTATATACAAGTCAAACAAACACACGAAGGTGACTGTAAATGGTCCAAGTCGGACCGAAACGTCGTCATAAGCTTCACTCTCCTATGTGCGGGTTATCTATGAATTGTTCCAGTCACGGTATTGTGCCTTTTATTCTTTAAGTAATTTAAATTTTGGAAAACGCTGGTTGGGTAGAGGAAGCTGGAGGAATAGTGTGTCCTTCTCCTCATTAATGCCTGGAAGATCCAGTCTCCACCACTCCTTCCACTGAATAAGTCACGTGTATTGAGCGTTTCAGTAAACTATAACACTCAGGAACCGCATGGAAATAAGTCACTTTGAGTTTTTTTTGGGTTATTCTAGATAATTTTCACAAAGTATGATAACTGTACTTATGTGTACCTGTGTCTAAATAAACTTAGTAACAACAGTAAGGAGGGTGAGCATCGTACAACAGCAAGGAGGGTGAGCATCTTACAACAGCAAGGAGGGTGAGCATCTTACAACAGTAAGGAGGGTGAGCATCTTACAACAGTAAGGAGGGTGAGCATCTTACAACAGTAAGGAGGGTGAGCATCTTACAACAGCAAGGAGGGTGAGCATCTTACAACAGCAAGGAGGGTGAGTATCTTACAACAGCAAGGAGGGTGAGCATCTTACAACAGTAAGGAGGGTGAGCATCTTACAACAGCAAGGAGGGTGAGCATCTTACAACAGCAAGGAGGGTGAGCATCGTACAACAGCAAGGAGGGTGAGCATCTTACAACAGTAAGGAGGGTGAGCATCTTACAACAGTAAGGAGGGTGAGCATCTTACAACAGTAAGGAGGGTGAGCATCTTACAACAGCAAGGAGGGTGAGTATCTTACAACAGCAAGGAGGGTGAGCATCTTACAACAGCAAGGAGGGTGAGCATCTTACAACAGCAAGGAGGGTGAGCATCTTACAACAGTAAGGAGGGTGAGCATCTTACAACAGCAAGGAGGGTGATCATCTTACAGCAGCAAAGAAGGTGAGCATCTTACAACAGCAAGGAGGGTGAGCATCTTACAGCAGCAAGGAGGGTGAGCATCTTACAACAGTAAGGAGGGTGAGCATCTTACAACAGCAAGGAGGGTGAGAGGCTGAGCTTCTTACAACAGCAAGGAGGGTGAGCATCTTACAACAGCAAGGAGGGTGAGCATCTTAAAACAGTAAGGAGGGTGAGAGGCTGAGCATCTCACAGCAGTGAAATAAACGTGATGAAAATCTACGGAGAGTGCAACCCACATTTAGCTATATCTTATTTTTCAGATTTGCTGAGCATATTGTAAAGGTATTTTAGTAGACTACAAAATTTTGAATACATTTTTTTTCATTTACGATGACATGAAATCACACTACGTCATATTGCCTTATATGAGGGTTTACTGTATACTGGCGTTGTGTGAGCCATATGGGATTACTGCTTTTCCATATTTATAATAATTTTAGTCATGGGAAGCCCTAGACCCGTCGGGGTAGTATAGCGCCTGATGTATAAGAGGGTAACGAAATGTAACTCAAAGAACTGGAGCCATGGCTCTAATTACTCTGATCAAGAGTCGATCACCCCCTGTACACCCTGGAAGGGAGGTACCTGTCTCCCTGGTCGATCACCCCTTGTACCCCCTGGAAGGGAGGTACCTGCCTCTTTGGTCAATCACCCCCTGGAAGGAGGTACAGGTGGTGATCGACCAGGGGGTGTCTCCCTGGTCGATCACCCCTTGTACTCCCTGGAAGGGAGGTGCCTGTCTCCCTGAGGGACTACGAAAAACCGAAGCTGGAGTAACGAGACACACTGATCAATTTAAAATATTATCTCTTAAAAAATAAATCTAAATAAAAATATTTATTGCTATGACAAATCATGTTTATTTTACTAGCCAAACTACGGAACGGGTGAGGTCTGAAGCCCTCCCGTCTTATTACGACTTCGTCTTATTACGACTTCGTGTTATTACGATTTCGTGAATCTTTACTACTTTGTTTAAGCTAGTGTTGTATCCAATTTTCTTTTGAACACTTAGTACACCGTCATCTATACTTGTAGTATACTTGTAGTGTACTTGTAGTATACTTGTAGTGTACTTGTAGCGTACTTGTAGTGTACTTGTTCAGCTTCACTGCTTGCATAGTGCCTGGTACATTTCTTACTCGGATGTATTCTGCTTATAATTGAATGTATTAAATATTTATTCATAACTGTCTCATTGAGCTATGTCACCTTTGTATTTTATTTTTGTTGCAAAACAAAAAAAATCCAGAAGAAATTTGTTATTTTTTTCAAGTTATTTTTGACAGGGGTATAAAAAATTAAGACAAATGAAGGGTTACAGGCGCTTAAAAAGGTTATGAACCACTATTTTAAAGGCCTTTAAAACAGTGGGCACTGACCTTTAAGGGTACTGACTTTTCAGAGCACCGACCTTTAAGGGCACTGACCTTCAAGGGCAATTTCTACTAAGGGCACTGACCTTCAAGGGCAATTTCTACTAAGGGCACTGACCTTTAAGGGCAGTGAGGTCGTGGGAGACTGACCTTGAGCTTGATGCGGGAGACCTGGGTGCTAAGAGCGCGGGTGAGGTGGTCGTAGTACTGAGGGTCGTTCTTCTTCACCACCCTGGTTGCTGTCTCAGCGATCTCAAACACCACCTGCTGTGGTGGCTGACAGTGTTCCAGCACTAACTGCAGCAGCAGTGCAAGCTCCACCATGTGCGAATCTGACAGTTGTTTACAATTACAGATGTTATTTTGTATCACATATGTTAGTTTGTATTACAGGTGTTATTTTGTATTAAATGTGTTTTCTATTACAGGTGTTGCTTCGCATTACAGGTGTTTTGCAGTACATCAGAGGTGTGCTCTATGAGTGGAAACATCCACAGTGTGCTGTTATCCGTAGGATTCATATACTAGTTGGAGCAGTACCTGGAGACTGGCAAGTTCGCTCCAAGGAAAAAGAAACTTCAATTCCTTGGATCAAGAGCCTCGCTACTCTAACTTGTGCTTTTTCACAACTATCGCTAAAGATGGAAATCAAAATTGGACGATGTTTGATAACTTAGCCTAGGATTTCTCGACCCTTCAACGGGACGTTTGATGACTTAACTTTAAATTTCCTGACTAATCCGCAAAAGGATTGAAAATAATCGTGGTTCATAATTCAGCTGCCTCAGCCTCACCTCTACAGTGCATTGTATAATGCATACAAGTAATTTATTTATTTGTGGGTTAGTTTTTAATTGTTCCATCCATGATAAAGTGGTTAGTTGTGAATTGTTCCAGCCACAGTGTTGTTAGTTGTGAATTGTTCCAGCCACAGTGTTGTTAGTTGTGAATTGTTCCAGCCACAGTGTTGTGGGTTAGTTGTCAATTGTTCCAGCGACAGTGTTGTGTGTTAGTTGTGAATTGTTCCAGTCACAGTGTTGTGTGTTAGTTGTGAATTGTTCCAGCCACAGTGTTGTGGGTTAGTTGTGAATTGTTCCAGCCACAGTGTTGTGGGTTAGTTGTGAATTGTTCCAGCCACAGTGTTGTGGGTTAGTTGTCAATTGTTCCAGCGACAGTGTTGTGGGTTAGTTGTGAATTGTTCCAGCCACAGTGTTGTTAGTTGTGAATTGTTCCAGCCACAGTGTTGTGGGTCAGTTGTGAATTGTTCCAGCGACAGTATTGTGGGTTAGTTGTGAATTGTTCCAGCCACAGTGTTGTGTGTTAGTTGTGAATTGTTCCAGTCACAGTGTTGTGTGTTAGTTGTGAATTGTTCCAGCCACAGTGTTGTGGGTTACTTGTGAATTGTTTCAGCGACAGTGCTGTGGGTTAGTTATGAATTGTTCCAGCCACAGTGTTGTGGGTTAGTTGTGAATTGTTCCAGCCACAGTGTTGTGGGTTAGTTGTGAATTGTTCCAGCCACAGTGTTGTGGGTTGTGAATTGTTCCAGCCACAGTGTTATGGGTTGTGAATTGTTCCAGCCACAGTGCTGTGGGCTAGTTGTGAATTGTTCCAGCTACATTGTGGGTTAGTTATGAATTGTTCCAGCCACAGTGTTATGGGTCAGTTGTGAATTGTTCCAGCGACAGTGTTTTGGGTTAGCTGTGAATTGTTCCAGAGACAGTGTTGTGGGTTAGTTGTGAATTGTTCCAGCCACAGTGTTGTGGGTTAGTTCTGAATTGCTCCAGCCACAGTGTTGTGGGTTAGCTGTGAATTGTTCCAGCCACAGCGTTGTGGGTTAGTTGTGAATTGTTCCAGCCACAGTGTTGTTAGTTGTGAATTGTTCCAGCCACAGTGTTGTGGGTTAGTTGTGAATTGTTCCAGCTGCAGTGTTGTGGGTTAGTTGTGAATTGTTCCAGCCACAGTGTTGTGGGTTAGTTGTGAATTGTTCCAGTCACAGTGTCGTGGGTTAGTTGTCAACTGTTCCAGCCACAGTGTCGTGGGTTAGTTGTCAACTGTTCCAGCCACAGTGTCGTGGGTTAGTTGTCAACTGTTCCAGCCACAGTGTTGTGGGTTAGTTGTCAATTGTTCCAGCCACAATGTTGTGTTAGTTGTGATTTGCTCCAGCCACAGTGTTGTGGGCTAGTTGTGAATTGTTCCAGCGACAGTGTTGTGGATTAGGTGTGAATTGTTCCAGCGACATTGTGGGTTAGCTGTGAATTGTTCCAGCCACAGTGCTGTGGGTTGTGAATTGTTCCAGCAACAGTGTTATGAGTTGTTAACTGTTTCAGCCATGATATTATAACTTTTATACTGTGAGAATATTGTTATACCTTGTATTCGTTCAAGCTTTCATCCTTATATGCTTGCCTAATTTTCACCTGTTTCTAACGGTAATTTTTTAATGTCTAACTCGTTATGCTTCTGTTGTGAATACTAACCATCATTCTCGTCTGGCTTCTTCGTGAAGACCAGCTGGAGGGGCAGGAGCCAATAGACGTTGATTTTAGAGAAGCTCTTTGAGATGATGGTGTGGAGGTTGAGGGCCCGTGCAGAGTGTATCATGTGTTGTTCATCGTTGATACTTCGTAACGGGGACGTGCTGTCATATACCTGCCACCAACCACATAATTATTACACGCACGGTAAAATGTTAGCCCGCAGAGGGGGTTAAACAGAGACTGGAGGATGGGTGGTAAACAGGGTTGATCATAGTAGTAGCAGGATATTTCTAATTTCTTTGGTCAAAATCCCTGTGCCAGCATAAAGGCACCTATCTTCCTTGCAGGGTGGCTGGGACGAGGAACAAGGCTGTTGTTGCATAAGGTATGTAAGTGTACTATCTGCACTATGTTCTGTTTCACACAATATATAGAGGCTTGCCTAACACCTACGTACATATTTACTGTCAGGTGAATAATGGCAGCAGGTGTAAGGAGACTTGCTTATACGTCTTGGCCTTGCCCTGCAATCAAACCCAAAACCTTTATATTGTGAACCACATGCATTAACTACTAAGTTCTTGCTTACCTATACAATAAACCTGCTGACATTTGCAGTCCTTGGACATAATACCTGACGGAAAATACTTTACATATGTATATTAAGGAGGAAAGTGTGCAATATAGATGGACTCTTGTACAAAAAATTAAATGAGACTACTTATTTAGATTCTGGAAAGGGACAAGGTAAGAAGCAAGTGATATTGGTGTTATGGAGGGTCGTTCTTAATGAAGGTGGTCGTGCAATGTTTTCTATAATACAGCACTAAAACACACATGAGTACAGGAAGTACAACATGACATCAGTAACTATTCACTAGTAGCACACGGGAAGTGTCTAATCTAGAAGGAAGTGACAGGTATCAGGAGAAACATTAATGTCACCACTGTTAATAGCTCATCAGAAATGCTAGCAGAAAGTGACAGGTATCAAATATCACCTCCATGACACCCTTGTCGATTTCTTTCCAGCTGTTGCTGCGGACGGCCCTCTCCACATTCTGGTTGGTCATCTCTTTGGCCAGCGTGGCCTCAAACCTCTCCTTGGCCACTACTTTAGCGTCCTGATCCGGGTTCACCCTCAGCTGGCTTCCCTCTCGCTCCATCAAATGCTCCCACCAGAAGAACTGACGCAAGCTTGCTGTGAGTGACAAGTGTCGCTCCCGCAGTCTGCAAGCAGCACCATGACAGTGTTACCACAAATACAGGTATTATTATTACACTGATGGGGGGAAGGGTTGCTAACCACGCAGGAGTCATGCAGTTCCTGGGGGAATGGGAAGCCGGGACTCACGAAATCGTTATAATATTATTGCAAATAAATCACGAAATGGGTGGTGCCCGAATCCATAGCGGAGTGGTTTACGCAATGGCCTGCGAGTTTTGAACTCATGGCTGAGTGGTTAACGCACCTGCAACTGAATTTTAAGATTCATTTGTCATGGGTTCAAATCTCACCAGTTCCTTGATTTGGGAAGCATAGGTTCAGTTCTTTCGGTCAAGAGTCCCTCACCGTCAAGGAACCTCCCTTCAGGGACACAAATAGGCAACTCAACCTCAAACACATACAGCATCAGTGGAGATTGTTGAGGCTGGAAGACGGACACCAAGCATGGGGAGAGGAAGGAGTGGGATAACAACACTGGAGAAAAGGTTGTGGATAAAGAGGAAGAGAGAGATAAAGAAGAAAGAGTAAGTGGCTCAACCAATTTGTGTAGGTTTTAATTGTAGTTTAAGTCTGTGACGAGCGAGGTGACACCAACGCTTTATATTATTATTTTATTTTTGTTATTTTTATTACTTCATTATTATTATTATTATTATTATTTTATTATGTCAGTAGTGTTACTGAGTACTGTGTAGTATATTTAGACAATCCCAGCTACTTTACAGACAGGCTCCCTTCTTGCGTGTCAGGCATGATCCAGGAGGGCAACTCCACTTTCCTTGGATCAGCAGCCCTGCACGAGCATCAAGGTATTCCTCCGTCCCTTAAAAGGATCAACGCTCCAGCTACAAGAGTGTCTGTCGCCGCGTCATCCCAGTGAGGTATCCCTCAGATACATAACCTAGTCCCGGTATATCAGTGATTCCAGAGAGGTATCCCTTTGTCTTATAATCTTAGTCCCTGTACATCACTGATCCGGAGGTATCCCTCTATCACATAACCTGTCCTTGTATATCAATGATCCGAGAGAGGTATACTGTTATATAACCTAATTATATGTACATCAATGATCAGAGAGAGAGGTATCTCCCTATCACGCAACCCCAGCCTCATGTACATCAACACAGGCAAGAGGTCTTATAACTGTACATTTGTCTCCAAAAGGCATTAATTACTAGCTGTCAAAGGCACTTGTCTATAGACACAGCCTGATTTATGTGTGAGTGTGTATGTGTGTACAACTTTCCCACACACACACACACACACACACACACGCACCTCTTCACAAAACCAGCCTTCTTGGCGGAGTCGTAGTTGACAAGAGCAAGGAAGGACTTCCCGGCCACATCTGAAGCCTTAATCCCTGCCTCAGTCTTCAGTGCTTTCTTCTTAACTTTCTCCAGCTCGGCATCATCTTCGTTGTCATCATCATCACTGTAGTAGTAACCTTTCTTCGTTCCTTGTTTCTGCCGTATCTTCTCAGCCTCCTGGAAAAATAAGCCAAGTTCATTGTATTATTTGCTTCGAGTTCTCTCTTCTAGAACAGGATTAGTCTTGTCTCTGATTTAAGGAAAATCCCTCTCATTTCCTGGGAGATGATCATTGCCATTTCTATTTAAAACATGACTAGGTTCTTTCTCATCTTCAAGAAGACCAGGGCTTTTTTATGTGACACTCACCTCGTTGAAGATTACCACAGCAGTGTGTCTCCTGAGAGCCTCGCTGAAGGAGGTACGAACTTCCTGAAGGAAGACGCCCAGTTCATCGTTGTTCTTGTAGGTACCCACGTCCTCAGGGTACCCACAACCCTGTATACCATCAGTGTTGTATATCATTCCTAACATTATAGAAAGTAATCAGAATTGTTTAATTATTTACACTGTTCTGAACTCTCTATTCAACTCACCGAATACAATGTTCTGAACTCTCATTGAGCTTTAAATCTTATAAACCGAAAGATAAATTCAACTACAAGGAATTATTGAGCCTACGTTACGTTCTGTGTAGAGTTTTTGTCAAAAGCTCTACACAGTGACACAATGACGCAATAATATAGCTGTGTCAGTAGAGTTTTCACAGTTATATTATCAACATCTCGGCCTTCTTGCAGATAGATAATGTAAATACACTATCTACTCTCATCGTTGTAATAAAATTATTGCATACAATATCTATCCTTGCAATGGTCGTAAAATTTAAACCCTTAATCTTTACTTCACATTATTTCGTAAATTGTATTGCAATATGGAATAAAGTAAACATTGTTGCGGCTTCCTCTCCAACATAATGCAGCTACTGCACACATGCTGGCCATCTTATCTTTGCATTGTGTTTTGGGTTTGTGGTTTACTTGTCTTACGCACGCATGAACAGTTTTGTTTTATTAAGTTCACGAGGAAGTTCTAATTCCGTATGGGTCAGTGCTTGGGGAGGGCCAGGAGTGGACCTGGGGGTGTCAGTACGGGCTAAGTGTGGAGCGGAGGGGTATCAGTACGGGCCAGGGATGGACCGGAGAGTGTCAGCGTGGATCAAGGATGGACCGGAGAATGTCAGTACGGACCTGGTATGAACAGAGAAGTGTGAATAAGGACCGGGGGAGTATCAGTACTTACAGTGATGGCACGAGTCAGTGACTGGTTCAGGAACTCACGAGCCTCCGACAGGTACTTCTTCTTCTGCGCAACCGACAACGAGTCCTGCAACACAGTAATATTGATCAGTTCCTGCAACACACTAACAATGATCGGGTCCAGCAACACAGTAACAATGACTGTCCAGCAACGCTAACAATGATTCTGCAACGCACTAACAATGACCCTGCAAGACACCCTAACAATGATGAGGACCTTGGCGGCAGCTTCTAGTAGTCAGAAGAGAATGCTGGGAAGTTGCAGACCAAAAGGTCACTGAGCGTTCTGCACGACAACAGTCACGTTGAATCATATAACACACGCATACACTAGTGAGAAAGTTATACACGCACACACCTTGAGGCGATAACCACACGCTTACATACACTTAGGACACCTTTACTGAAGATGTTTCTGTCCTGGGACCTTGATCGCTTCAAATAAATGACGTCCTAAGTGTATAAATTAGTGTAAATTTCCCACACAAATACAAGCATTATAACACTATCATTTTTTTTCAAAACAGGTTAAAATGACCGCTATTCTTTAAATCTGCCCATATGGTCAACCACACTGAAAAAAATTACTAGCATATCTGCAATGTCTCTCCAGTCTCAGCGACTAAAACTCACGTGAAAACAAGCTAATTCCAGAGCCTACGTAATGTAATTAAGATAACACGTCTCAAGATGCATAGAAAAATTAGTTACCTTTAGTTTGATAGGTAAATTATGTAGCACCTGGTCACCCAATGTGCGGTAGTCAAAAGATTACCGAGGTACATACTGGGTCCAGGGACTGATCCCTTACCATTGTAAGAGTTATGAAAGTTACAGTGGTAACCAGTTATATACAAATTTATAAACTTGTGAGTTGCTTATAGTCATGAATTCAGTCACAAAAGCATTGCAATATAGGCTCAGTGTAGTTATTTATATAACCCAATATTTATCGGTTATGGTTGCATTTAGGCAAGTTATAATTGTTATGAGCTATTTATATTAGGCAAAGTCAGGCTATTTTTGATCAGTTATTCCCCGGTGGATAAAATGCTCTGATATATCTTGAGCAATTGTCATATGTGAGTGAGTTGTTTAAATTCACTGTTTTTCACACTTCAACACATGAAGATGAAGGCTGTAACAACAGTTTCTTCGACAAAGTTTACGTTTAATTAAGTCTACAACAACTGGTGGTACAGACTCAGAGGAGCCTGTAGCCCAGCTGAAGGTGGCAGTAGTAATATCCAGGGGTCTGATGAGTTTGATGGAGTCACCATAGACATGTGGCTGCTCCTGCGTGATAGAATGAGGATAGATGGCATGACTAGTGTCAGTCTACCTCCGCCTCAAGTCACTGAAGTTCACTTGAATTTTTTTTGTTACTTTTCTCGATGTACTAGCTGGCAGCCCCAGGTTGTAATGTACTCCCTCCCTGGAGGCATAAACTATTGCAGATTCATCACTTTATCATACGTTTGAAGACAAATGTGAGAACAAATCCACAAAATGTGTAACCGCCGCCATACAAGTTACCTCCACCTCTGCATGTTAAATAATCAGGACTCCAACATGTCCCACGCACCAACACTACTTCACGTCCTTGAGCCACGGACTGGAGTGTAAAGTATCCTACACCTCCTAATATTTGTGCATCTGCCTCCCAGTATTTGTGCATCACTTCCCAGTACTTGTGCATCGCCTTCCAGTATTTGTGCATCACCCTCCCAAAAAGTAGAAGTCACCTACCAGTTTCTGGACATTGTACTTGGTATAGGGGAAATACTGAGCGGTGAACTGTGGCCCCAGAAGACTGAAGAGCGCCTGCTGCATAAACTCTGTTCCCTGGAACCTGCTCACCTGCTTGGCCAGAGCCCTGTTCACCTTGTCCATCACCTGAGACATTATATCCACTTAGTAACAACAACAAAATAAAAATAAATACGGTTATATATATATAGATGACTGTGAAACAGAAACCTCTAACTGTTTTGCATCATAGTAGGATTGCTGGTTTCTTTTTCTGTCTCATAAACACGCTAGATAACAGGGATATCTTGCTACTCCTACTTACACTTTGGTCACACTTCACAGACACGCACATGCATATATATATATACATACATCTAGATTTTTCTCCTTTTTCTAAATAGCTCTTGTTCTTCTTTATTTCTTCTATTGTCCACGGGGAGGTGGAAAAGAATCTTTCCTCCGTAAGCCATGCGTGTCGTACGAGGCGACTAAAATGCCGGGAGCAATGGGCTAGTAACCCCTTCTCCTGTAGACATTTACTAAAAAAGAGAAGAAGAAAAACTTTATAAAACTGGGATGCTTGAATGTGCGTGGATGTAGTGCGGATGACAAGAAACAGATGATTGCTGATGTTATGAATGAAAAGAAGTTGGATGTCCTGGCCCTAAGCGAAACAAAGCTGAAGGGGGTAGGGGAGTTTCGGTGGGGGGAAATAAATGGGATTAAATCTGGAGTATCTGAGAGAGTTAGACCAAAGGAAGGGGTAGCAGTAATGTTGAAGGATCAGTTATGGAAGGAGAAAAGAGAATATGAACGTGTAAATTCAAGAATTATGTGGATTAAAGTAAAGGTTGGATGCGAAAAGTGGGTCATAAGAAGCGTGTATGCACCTGGAGAAGAGGGAAATGCAGAGGAGAGAGAGAGAGATTTTGGGAGATGTTAAGTGAATGTATAGGAGCCTTTGAACCAAGTGAGAGAGTAATTGTGGTAGGGGACCTGAATGCTAAAGTAGGGTGTGGTAGGTAAGTTTCGGGTGCCAGGTGTAAATGATAATGGGAGCCCTTTGATTGAATTTTGTATAGAAAGGGGTTTAGTTATAGGTAATACATATTTTAAGAAAAAGAGGATAAATAAGTATACAAGATATGATGTAGGGCGAAATGACAGTAGTTAGTTGGATTATGTATTGGTAGATAAAAGACTGTTGAGTAGACTTCAGGATGTACATGTTTATAGAGGGGCCACAGATATATCAGATCACTTTCTAGTTGTAGCTACACTGAGAGTAAAAGGTAGATGGGATACAAGGAGAATAGAAGCATCAGGGAAGAGAGAGGTGAAGGTTTATAAACTAAAAGAGGAGGCAGTTAGGGTAAGATATAAACAGCTATTGGAGGATAGAGGATGAGAGCATAGGCAATGGGGTCGAAGAGGTATGGGGTAGGTTTAAAAATGTAGTGTTAGAGTGTTCAGCAGAAGTTTGTGGTTACAGGAAAGTGGGTGCGGGAGGGAAGAGGAGCGATTGGTGGAATGATGATGTAAAGAGAGTAGTAAGGGAGAAAAAGTTAGCATATGAGAAGTTTTTACAAAGTAGAAGTGATGCAAGGAGGGAAGAGTATATGAGAAAAAGAGAGAGGTTAAGAGAGTGGTGAAGCAATGTAAAAAGAGAGCAAATGAGAGAGTGGGTGAGATGTTATCAACAAATTTTGTTGAAAATAAGAAAAAGTTTTGGAGTGAGATTAACAAGTTAAGGAAGCCTAGAGAACAAATGGATTTGTCAGTTAAAAATAGGAGAGGAGAGTTATTAAGTGGAGAGTTAGAGGTATTGGGAAGATGGAGGGAATATTTTGAGGAATTGTTAAATGTTGATGAAGATAGGGAAGCTGTGATTTCGTGTATAGGGCAAGGAGGACTAACATCTTGTAGGAGTGAGGAAGAGCCAGTTGTGAGTGTGGGGGAAGTTCGTGAGGCAGTAGGTAAAATGAAAGGGGGTAAGGCAGCCGGGATTGATGGGATAAAGATAGAAATGTTAAAAGCAGGTGGGGATATAGTTTTGGAGTGGTTGGTGCAATTATTTAATAAATGCATGGAAGAGGGTAAGGTACCTAGGGATTGGCAGAGAGCATGCATAGTTCCTTTGTATAAAGGCAAAGGGGACAAAAGAGAGTGCAAAAATTATAGGGGGTAAGTCTGTTGAGTATACCTGGTAAAGTGTATGGTAGAGTTATTATTGAAACAATTAAGAGTAAGACGGAGAATAGGATAGCAGATGAACAAGGAGGCTTTAGGAAAGGTAGGGGGTGTGTGGACCAGGTGTTTACAGTGAAACATATAAGTGAACAGTATTTAGATAAGGCTAAAGAGGTCTTTGTGGCATTTATGGATTTGGAAAAGGCGTATGACAGGGTGGATAGGGGGCAATGTGGCAGATGTTGCATGTGTATGGTGTAGGAGGTAGGTTACTGAAAGCAGTGAAGAGTTTTTACGAGGATAGTGAGGCTCAAGTTAGAGTATGTAGGAAAGAGGGAAATTATTTCCCAGTAAAAGTAGGCCTTAGACAAGGATGTGTGATGTCACCGTGGTTGTTTAATATATTTATAGATGGGGTTGTAAGAGAAGTAAATGCGAGGGTCTTGGCAAGAGGCGTGGAGTTAAAAGATAAAGAATCACACATAAAGTGGGAGTTGTTACAGTTGCTCTTTGCTGATGACACTGTGCTCTAGGGAGATTCTGAAGAGAAGTTGCAGAGATTGGTGGATGAATTTGGTAGGGTGTGCAAAAGAAGAAAATTAAAAGTGAATACAGGAAAGAGTAAGGTTATGAGGATAACAAAAAGATTAGGTGATGAAAGATTGGATATCAGATTGGAGGGAGAGTATGGAGGAGGTGAATGTATTCAGATATTTGGGAGTGGACGTGTCAGCGGATGGGTCTATGAAAGATGAGGTGAATCATAGAACTGATGAGGGGAAAAGGGTGAGCGGTGCACTTAGGAGTCTGTGGAGACAAAGAACTTTGTCCTTGGAGGCAAAGAGGGGAATGCATGAGAGTATAGTTTTACCAACGCTCTTATATGGGTGTGAAGCATGGGTGATGAATGTTGCAGCGAGGAGAAGGCTGGAGGCAGTGGAGATGTCATGTCTGAGGGCAATGTGTGGTGTGAATATAATGCAGAGAATTCGTAGTTTGGAAGTTAGGAGGAGGTGCGGGATTACCAAAACTGTTGTCCACAGGGCTGAGGAAGGATTGTTGAGGTGGTTCGAACATGTAGAGAGAATGGAGCGAAACAGAGTGACTTCAAGAGTGTATCAGTCTGTAGTGGAAGGAAGGCGGGTAGGGGTCGGCCTAGGAAAGGTTGGAGGGAGGGGGTAAAGGAGGTTTTGTGTGCGAGGGGCTTAGACTTCCAGCAGGCATGCGTGAGCGTGTTTGATAGGAGTGAATGGAGACAAATGGTTTTTAATACTTGACGTGCTGTTGGAGTGTGAGCAAAGTAACATTTATGAAGGGGTTCAGGGAAACCGGCGGGCCGGACTTGAGTCCTGGAGATGGGAAGTACAGTGCCTGCACTCTGAAGGAGGGGTGTTAATGTTGCAGTTTAAAAACTGTAGTGTAAAGCACCCTTCTGGCAAGACAGTGATGGAGTGAATGATGGTGAAAGTTTTTCTTTTTCGGGCCATCCTGCC